GCTGAGAAGGAGAAGGTAACACAGTGATGCTCATTGTGAAGAGTTTAAGACGTTCAGCCCCGTGGTGGTCTCGGTGGGTAGTCACAGCATCTGCCGCCTGCTGTCCTCCCAAATAGTTCTTGGGCACAGCATTGCGTTAGGCGCAGCACAGAGGTTATTCGCCTGTTTTAACCTGAACATGTGTGGCCCCGGACCTGCCAGGCAGCGCCTCCTGGATGGCAGCTCTGCTCCATTTTCAGGGGCTCCGTTGACATTACTATGATTTTTTACACGAGGTTTAAGTGTTGTAGTCACCCTTTCTTTAGGCACATTATTTGTGGCCGTGTGCGTACATTCCTTTTGTAGTATTCCAAAGGAATTCTCTCCCGGCCTTGCCTGCCCTCAGCCTGCTCACCCTGAGGCCCTACACCCTCCACCTCCACTGACTCCAGGCCTCACCCATCTTTCCGTTTGAAGCACCCTCTCCCATGGAGTCTTCAGCCCTCAGTTTTGTGACTGAATGAAGGTAACTTTCCTGCGTGTTGCCTTTGAACTTTAGAGCCTGCTTCCCCTCTGGAAGCACGAAAGTTAGCTGGGCCGTTAGCGACCCTCCGGGGGTTCGGGGCTCTCTGACCGAAGTGTGGCTCCGAGCCGCCTGGGTCCTCCTGTCTGGCCTCTCTCTGCGGTCTCAGTGCCTCCCAGGTAGCGGTGGGACTTCCAAGCGCCTCCAGTTTCCCCGACTGAGATGGAAGTCTGCCTGAGCCCTAGGCCTGGCGGTGTCCGAGGAATGGTTATGATTTCTGGAGAAACATGCAGAGGAGAAAGCCGAAAGGTTTTGCCGTTGGTATTGTTCGGTTGGGGAAAGTGGCCATTTACATTATTATTTTAAAACAAGCCGGTTACACGTGCTGAAGACATGCCCTTAGCATCACCAGCAGGAGGAGGGGGGCTGAGGCGGGAACCAGGCCGCGGGAGGCAGCGGACACTAAGTGCTGCCGGTGGCCCTGTCTCCAGGCCTCCTCCCAGCTCAGGAGCAGCAGGCCCCGCCCTGCAGACAGCATCGCTGACAGGAGCTTTTCTTAGGCGAGAGGCTCGTTCTGAAGGACCAGCCATTCAGAGCCTGGCCACACTGAAACCTTTTATGACTTTATTTTTCAATCCTGGACTTTTATTGATTTGTGTATTCTTGTGTGAGGCTCTGAGTGGGAGAAAGGGCGGCAAAATGGCCCTTGAGTCAGAGGGGCACCCACACACCAGCAGACAGAGGAGGACGGCTGGGCCTGGGCCAGGAGACCCCCTGAAGCCTGGAAGGCAGGGCCGCCCAGAGCTCACCGGGCAATCTGGAGGCTGAAGAGCTCCCAAGAGCAAGGGAGAGCCCATTCCACACAAGAGGGGGGGCCTGAGGGGGGACGAGCATCAGCCTGCACTGAGGAGAGCCACTGAGGCGGGTGGATGACACAGTAGCCGATTAAAGAGCAAGACGGGGTAGGGTAGGGTAGGGAGGCGGGGTATGGACTGTGCAACCACTATGTTCAGAGAGACTGCACATGCTTCGAGGGACAAGATGGGCCATGTGCTGGCTTCCTGTGAGAGAGGACGGGCCGTGTGCTCGCTCCCCGGGGACAGGACGGGCCGAGTGCTCGCTCCCCGGGACAGGACGGGCCGTGTGCTCGCTCCCCGGGACAGGACGGGCCGTGTGCTTGCTTTCAGGCAGCTCAAGGGGCAGCAAGTGTGAGGGGGACGTGAAGAAGCAGAGCTGTGTTCGGAGGGATTGCCCTGGCCACTCAGCAAAAGCCTGTTGGGCGTGGCCCCGCCTGTCCCGTGTTCATGAAGCAGGAGAGACTGTCCACAACCCGGCAGAGATGATCTTGTCCCTCCAAATGCTTAAAGAGGGTGAAGCCGGTGGAGGAGACTAGATTAGTGTTGCCATTTAGGAGAAGGTTTTCAAGTGGATCCTGTGCCAGGCAGGTCTGAGCACAGGGCTCACACAGTTTTACAGGCCTTCCCATCTGGCTGCTGACGGCAAGAACCTACACCACAGAGGGCGTTTTGGTGTAGAAGGAAGAGAGCAAGGAAAGAAAGGAAGAACGAGAGGCTGGCTGCCACGGAGAGTCCGCAGGAAGTGCCGTGGTGAGGACAGCAGAGGCTGAGCTTTCGGGGGAATTGGCTCACTCAAAGAGAAAATGAGGAGAGCGGACCGGAGATGAGAGCTCACTTAGTCTCAGAATTAGAGTTGGAAATGTGAAATTTGAAACAGTGGTAGATAAATGAATTGAAGTGGAAATATGGAAAAATAGTAATGCAGGAAGAAAAGCACGGATTTCTATTTTAAATATAATTTCACAGTTGATATTACATTTGTCTTCTCTCTGAACTTGGTTCTATAGTAGACGTGTGTGTGTGTGTGTGTGTGTGTGTGTGTGTGTGTGTGTGTGCGCGCGCGCGCGCGCGCGCGCTCAGTGTGCACATGTGGCCCTGCTCAAGCTGTGGACGAAGCCCCGTGATCGCCAGCTCTACCTCCTGAGCCCCCTACGTCTCCTCTGCCTGGTCCTCTCTCAGGGAGGTGGCGGGTGTCCAGCAGCCCTGCCTGCATCCCGCCCACACCCGGTGCTCGTGCCCTATCCCCCTGGGAGGGGCCCTTTCCGGAAATGGACTTACCAGTCGTGGGCAGGTCCAAGCACAGAGGCTCCGCTAGCCAGCAGGCCCCGGGAGGGCAGGGTGGACCCTCCCTGAGGAAGCATGAGGCCGGCATTCTCTGTGCACACGGGGTGGCCAGGGCAGTGTGTCCGCCCTGGGGGTCTCCTTTGCTGTCCCTACCAGCTTCAGGCAGCCACCAGCCCTTTGCAGGCATATCCGTGGCAACCAGTCACTGTGGATTGAGTCCTAGCATTCGCAGGTTCAAGGACGGCGTTACAACAGGTCGCCGTCTTCCTCACCAGGGCCTTTGGTCAGTGTGGGAGGAGCCTGGGGCCGGCAGGAGCCTCAGGGAAAGGAGCTGGGGAGCCGGCCCTGCCAAGTTTGTCCAGCTGTCTTCTGCCCCGGCCCCAGCCTCAGTTCCTGTCACTTGTCTGGCTCAGCTCACCTGTGTCTTTAAGACGCTCTCGGGCCCTCCGGACCCTCAGGAGCTGGAACTCACCTTCAATCCATTCCAGTCGAGGCTGCGTCTGCTCCCTGCTGCCCGCCCCGCCCTTCACCTCTGCCTCCGCTGGATGCTGCAGGCCCCTCACCCCTGCTCCCCTCAGCCTCCCAGGGAGCTTGCCAGCCTCTCAGCCTGCGGGTCTGGCCTTCCGGGTGGACCCCACCATCTAGACCTCCCTCACCTCTAACAAGTAACAATGTGTGGCCGTTTCTCTAAAGCACGTGGCGGACCATAGCGCCTCCTCTTGGCCTCTGCGGCCTCGCGGGCGAAGCTCCCACCGCTGAACCCCTGGGTGAGGAAGCCATGGGGGCCAAGCTGACCTCCCTCCGCAGGGTCTTCCCCAGTGCCTGCCTGCACCACCTCACCGCACACACACTCCCACCGCCGTCTCCATGTGGGACGAGGCTCAAGCTGGGCCTGTGGCTTGGGGTGAGCAGGCCGTGGGGGGCCCCTGCTCCAAAGCCCTCCCCGGCCGACAGCCCTTCTGCCCTGGGTTTGCTGCTCACATAGGCTCAGACCTCCTTCCTCCCCACATCTGGCACCTGGAACACCTCTCCCGCCCTCCCTCTTCTTCCCCTCCCTCTTTTCTTCCCCCTCCCCCTTTCCCCTCTCTTCCCCTCCCCCTCCCCCTCTCCCTCCAGCGGACCAGGCTTTGAAGGCCTCAGTGGCTGCCTGCCTCCTGCGTGTGTCTCCTGACAGGGCTGTGGGGAAACATGGCATCCTTTGAACATTTACTTAAGGTTGATAAATAAAATAGCTCTTAAGTTTAGTTATTTTTGTTAATATGAGATAGAAAAAATAAACAGAAGGTGGAAGACGGGACTAATTATTAGGAATAAATGTTTGATGACATGATTTGCTAAAATGGATTTTAATCAAACCCATTGAATAAGGCAGAGCAAATGTGAAAGTGATTGTGGGAACTGTACATCCTGGGCAGCTTGAAAATGTTTTCATAATTCAGGAAAATTCCAGTGATGCTTTTAAGAATTACATGAGTCACAATCTCAGACCATTTTAGAAAACAACTTGAGGATCTAGACATGGATCTCCGTAAAGCTCCCAGCACGCGTGTACTCCAGACTGTGTGCAGGGCGGCGCCCAGCGAGAGCGGAAGCCCGCGGAGAGGACTCTGTGCTGGGGGTGCAGGTCCCTGAGGCCCACCTCCGCTGGGCCCCCTGCACACGCTGCTGCTCTGGGGTCAGGGTCACAGCCCTTCCCCCAGCCCTGCTGCTGCTCTGGGGTCAGGGTCACAGCCCTCCCCCCAGCCCTGCTGCTGCTCTGGGGTCAGGGCCAGGCCGGCCCTCACTGGCTGAGCGCTGTGCAGCGTGGAGCCCTGTCTGCAGAGCCCAGAGCTGCTTCCACGGTGACGGTCCTGGTGGGCTCCCCCGGGGGAGGCTTTGGCTGCAGGCTGGTGCAGGCATGGCAGGTGAAGCCCCTCCCAGCGTCTAACTAGGCACCCGGAGGCGGCCAGGGAGGGAGGGGCTGGTTTGCACCCTATTGGATAAGCGGGGTCCTCTGGGAGATGTCTGTGGCTTTTTGTAAGTAACCTCATTGAGAGTTCACATGCCATACGAGTCACCTATGGGAAGTGCACCGCGCAGAGGCTGTCAGCATCTTCCCCCGTTTCCATGGTCCACGTTGCCCCACAGACTTTTAACCAAGCACCAAAGCAAGAATTAGCGAGTGAAAGAGAAGAGCTCCAGAGACAAGTACCCATCATCAGAGGAACCCGGTCCCTCCATGGTTCCTCTGCTTTTCCCCGACTGTGCTCAGCCTCCCAGCCGCTGGCACCTGCCGGGCAGGGAGCAGGACAGGCCCCGCCGGGTGGCAGCCCAGGCGGACACTGACCGCCACTCACGCGTGTGCCTTCTCTCCCCAGGTGTTCCACTGCGTCCACTTCGAGTGTCCGGAGCAGCAGAGCAGCCTGAAGGAGGAAAGCAGTGAGGAGCCGGGGGCAGGGGACCCCAGTCCGGCCGGTCAGCCACCCGAGCCCCGCGCTCTGCAGGCCCCCGGCGGCGGCTCCCTGCCCGCCAGCCCGGGCTCGCGCTCCGGCCGGCAGCACCAGTGAGGGCTCTGACCGTGTCCCCAGCGGGCTCTGTCCCTGCCCGCCCTGCCCGCGGGCAGCAGACCTGGCTCAGAGACGGACACGGAGCAGGTTTGCAACCAAGGACAGGAAGGGCCACTTTGTCCTCCTCATTCGTTCCGGTCGGGCTGGTCTCCAGTCTCCATCCGTCCAGTTCACACCCTACCTCTCCAGCCCAACCAGCCGGCGCCGTGTGGGTGGGCCGGGCACACAGGCCCTCGGACCTGGGCCGGCGCCCTTTGAGAAATGGTTTCCTTCGTGTCTGCTCGTGAACACGTCACTCTGGCAACTGACTGGCTTTGTTTCTTTTAGTGGCTCCCTATTTGCTGGATCACAGGTGTCCTGGTCTTTCTGAAATGCCCGACAGCACTTGTTTTAACCCCTTTGACACCGATCGTCCTTCCTTAGTTGTGAACGGTTAAGCGTGGGGTGGAGCGAGGAGCACGTGCGTCTCCAGGGTGGCAGGGACCCTCCTCCAAGGAAGTCCATCAAAACTCAGGCACCGAGCGGCGGGCACCGAGCAGCGGGCACTGAGCAGCGGGCCCTCACTCGGCTGCCAGGTGTCGGACCTGTCCTTCTCCTGCCACCTCCGCAGGTGAGTCCGCCTGCGGAGGTGGCAGGAGCACCCACTGGGCGCCGCTGACGACATGCTGATGCCTGTGGAACCTGCACACCTCCCGTTGGGCTGCGCCTGCGGCTGGGCGGGCAGGCCTGGGCTTGGCGCAGCCCTGGTCACCCTCTGTCCTCCAGTTCTGAGACGCTTTCCTCCCCCTCCTCCCCCTCCCCCTCCCCCCCTCCCCCTCCTCTTCCTCCTTCTCCTTCTCCTCCTCCTCCTCTTCTTCCTCGCTGCAGCCTGCTCGGCCAGCGCTGTTGTGTCTCCATTTGGGTTCCCTTGTACCTCCATCAATTCTTGTCGCCGTTTCCTCTCTGCAGCTCTCCCTTGGCTGGCCACTCCGGGAAGCTCCCGCACCCACAGAGGCCGGCGCACCCTGTGACCGCGGGGGTGCTTGCAGGGGTCCTTTCTCTGGCGCCTTTAGGACAAGGAGCAGGGCGGCTCACTGCTTTCTCCTGTAGCCAAGTCCCGAGTGACTGAGGGTAGTGGGGTAGCGTCGGATGAAGGACTGGGGAGCAGGCCAGGGGAGCGGGGCTCCCAGTCTCTGCCCCTCGTGTTCCTCCCCGCGTGGGATGGCACGGTGCTGCTGTCCGCACCCACCCCGCCGGCACCCTCACTGGGAGCGGAGCAGCAGGGAGTGGGCGCCTTCAGAGGCTCACCGTCCACGGCCTCTGGGAACTCTGGCGTCGCCTGTCCAGAGGGGAAGCCCACAGCGTGGAGCCGGGGACATGGGTGGCCTGTCGCCCCGCTGCCCACATAGCACACCCGCAGCCAGGCCAGGGCTGCGTGCCGCCTGCTGCTCAGCTTCCCCCAAAGGGCAGACGGTCAGAGCATCGGACCCAGCGGTCCTTCCGCCAGACTGCCCTCCCTGCTGCCCCCGGAGACCCCCTGTGGGTGCACCTTCCACTCCTGCCCTAGTCTGTCTGGAGAGATTGGTCTCTGCCCCCCCCACCCTCCTGCCCACCCCCGCCTCTGGCACTTCAGCGGCTCCTCCTATCGGATGAAGGGAAGGAAGGGGAAACCGAGGCAGTCCGCTGCCATGGCAGGGAGGCCTCACGGGCATGGGCACCGCTCTGCGCCTGGAGCTCAGCAAGTCCCCTGCAGCTGTCCCCTGGGGCCAGGCAGGGGCTCCGCCCTCCCGACGTGAGGAAGGAACCTGGGCCGGGCCAGGGCAGGGCAGGGCTGGTGTGAGGACAGGGCCTGGGCGGTGACCAGGTGAGGCCGGGCCCTCAGCGGAGGTGGACGGGGTGTTTGTGATCTCTGGCCCGTCACTGTGACCCTGGTCAGTTACAAAGGAAAACAGCAGCTTTGTAGCACCTCCTACTCCCCCTCCCCCACCCCGGGCCAGGCAAGGGCACCTGGGAGTGAGAGGGCGGAGGGAGGAGCCTTCGGGGCACCTGACACTCCCAGCCTCCTGCCGAGGAGGGAGGACGGGTTCGGGGCCCCTATGCCAGGGGCGGGGGCACACCTTGTCAAGGTGCTACTCAAGCTGCCGACGTGAGCAGGTGTAGGTGTGACACAGCCATCCACACACACTGTTTTCCGTGTCTGTGCTTTTTCTCTCTGTTTCTGACATTAGAACCATGAGCCCACGATGGGTGTGGGCCTCTTCTCAATCGCTCTTTCAATTGTCACTTTAAAAATCTTATTTAATGACAAGTACATTAAAAGTGTTTTATTCCTAGAAGAGCTGGGAAATACATTATTTCAGCAACAGTGGGATGTTTGTTAGACTGATTCCTTGGCAAAAAAAAAAAAATGAGTTTTGAATTGTGCAAAAAATTGCCCAGTAGTTACGCTGTCGCCCCAATTGCTAAACTGCTGTGTGGACGGCTGCTGCCCAGTCAGCTTCACCTTTATTTAATTTAGAAGATAACAAAATGGTCATCACTTATCCCTCCGGAGACGGGAAGAAAGGGCTGCGCGATAAAAGCAGCACCTCGGGCCCGGCCACTGGCAGTAGTTGCTGAGGGAACGGCCCCTTTGGACAGGAGAGGAAGGTGTCAGAGGGGAAGGAACATTAAATTGTCTCCTTCCAGGAACTTTTCCTCATTAGTGCTTGCTTTCCGGGGTTCCCCACACCCCTGCCTTCCTGTGGGTAGCAGGTCCCTGATGCTGCCGAGGTGGCCGGGGCCCAGCAGCTGCCGTGGCCGTAGCTGCTGCCCGTGGCCGTGGCCGTGGCCAGGCCGTGGCCGCAGCCCTGAACGCTGTGAGCCTGCCCTGGCAACTGAGATCAGTGTGGTCTGTGCCGCCTGGGCTTTGTGACTGTTACATCCGAAGCCCTCAGGGCGCTGGTGTGTGTGCAGGGTTCTGGGACGGGAGGCGTGGTTGAGAGAGAATGCAGGCACCCCGAACGCTGCTTCCTCCTGGAAGGTGCCCTCACACCTGGTTGCAGGTGAGGATCCAGGTGAGGCAGAGGAATGGGGAAGATGGCGAGAAGGGGCTGGCGGGGGAGAGCAGCCTCCTGTGCCCAGCAGCCCCCCAGGTCTGTGGAGGAGAGGACAGGCTCTCTGGTTTCCGTCAGCTTGGCTGGAGGGGCCGTGCACTGCCCTGGGCCTGGGACCACCTCTGCCAACGGGTGACTGAGTCCCCACCAAGCACCCACACCCTTTCAGGCAGGACCTGCCTCCCCTGGGGGTGGGGTGGGGAGCAGGCACATGGGGGCCAGGTGAGCCTCTGCATCCTGGTTAGAATAGAACTGGGTTTTTAAGATGACTCACTAATTATCAGGGTAATCTCATGGAATAATGTTCTAACCTGGCAGAAGGGGCCAGGGTGCCCGCCCCCTGGCTCGCTCCGAGTCCTGCCCTGGGCCTGTCACCGAGCCGGACTGAAGGGCCCACGCAGCCTCGCTCCTTTGTGAAGAACTGATGTTCTCCCCAGGGGCCTCCTCTAAGACCCAGTCACCCCCCTGCAATTTGTGGTAAAAGTCCCCGCATTTGCCATGTGCATCCTGTTTACAGCCCTGAGCGGGAGGCAAGGCCTGCACCTGCCTCCCCGGCTCTCCGGAGGCTGTGGCGGCGGCTGGAGGGTCCGGGCTCCTGCCCACCAGGGGGCAGCCCTGAGGAGGTGGGCAGCACGGAGCAGACATGTCGCCCTGGAAGGTGAGGGGGAGGCAGCAGGTGTGAGGCCTCTGGGTGGGCCCGGCCCTGGGAACCTGGTGGCATTGACTGACAGTCCCTCCCTCTGCCTCCAAGTAGCCTCTTCCTGCCACGTGAGCCTGTGTGAGGTCACCATGTCGCCCTGGGGGGTGTGTGGGAGGGGGGGGGGCAGGGGGCAGCTTGTAGCTCCGGGTTCCGGGTTTACTGCTTGTCCTGCACCTGACAGAGTTAGGGAGGAGGGGACAGCTGCACCCTCACAGCAATGAGGAGCCCCTGCCGCTGGTCAGCAGCCCCACCGTCAATGGGACGGGGGTGTGGTGGCGGCGGAGCGCTGACCAGGGCCTGCCTCTCCGGCCAAGGTCCCAAGGGCACCGGCCCTCCAGCGCCTGCCTAAGTCAGGGAAGAGGCCTGGAGGGTGTGGGAGTGACAGGAGCACCTCAGGGTGACGGGGCCTTGGCTGTGAACGACTCTGGTCACAAGGTGCCTTTGGGGTCGGTGCGGGCCTCAGAGGTGGGGGTGGGGGGGAGCGTGCGGGTTCCTCCATCAGCGCCCACAGAAGCTGGGGACCCGGTAAGGTGCCACGTGGGTGCATGCGCCCGGCCTGGGGCGGGGGGGCTGCAGTCCGGTTCCCACAAAGCGCCCGGCCTTTGGGGACACTGAGCTGGACCTGAGAGCAGCTGGAGCTGGGCCGGGGAAGACCTGGGCCACCTCCTGGTGGCTCTGGAGCCGGGAGGGATCACACGGGAGAGACGGGGCCCAGGCTGAGCCCTGAAATGAGACTGTGAGGGCTGAGGGACGGGCACCCGGTTGTGAGTCAAGGAGGCGCTCAGTGCTAGAGCGTTCGATTCTGGGGGCATTGGTTTCCTGGACTTGACCGCCCTTGGGACAGTCGCTGAGGCTGGCTGTGAGCTCATGTGGGTGCCTGGGGTCCCACTTTCCAACGTTCTCTCCTAACGCTGCCCTTTCACATTGCGGGGCTGGAGCAGGACACACTTCCTGAAGCGGCTACACCTGACTCTGCCACTTCACCTACCTGGACCACAAAGCTTCCGTATGTCCTGCTTGTTTCATTTGTTTACACTAGATCTAAAGTCTTTAAAGTCTTTGAGGTCAGAGGTGGCAGGTGGCTAGTTTGGAGGGCAATGGGCAATATTAACCCCAACTTAACTTGTGCAGACGAGGCACAAGGACAGCATTGTTGCTTTCCCCTCCCCCAAAATCACAAGCAAGGACCAAAATGACACCCAGCTTGAGAAAAGTCGTCGGAATAA